CGTGCTGGTTTATTCAAAGAATCACAGGTAAAATTAACATTACACGTCCAGATATCTTCCACCTCCAATCCTGCGCGCAGGCAGATGAAGAATGAAAAGACCCTGAACCATTAATGCCTATACATTTTATCACTTCGGTTGGGCTAGCCCCATACTACACAGGGACATCAAACCGTGGCATCACCTGATATGCCAGCTTTACAGCGGGCCGTAGCAGTAGTCAAAACATGGAGAGAATCAATGTGTATGAGTGTTGATTTCGTGGTGTGTATCTAAGAACATTCTGACATGACATCTAGTGACATGTCATGACATTACACATAAGAAAATATTATGATTACAATTACAGTTAAACATATCATAATAATAACAATATTCTTCCTGCCTGCTGACAGTCAAACTTTTCTATCTGGTTATCCTTGACCATAATGCACCCTGCAAGAAACCCATGAGAATGACTAAGCATGTAACAGCCTGAGCTAGACATCCTGTCTCCACTAAACATTTCTAATACAACAAATATCTAACCAATATCTATCTGACTAAAAAATACCTAACAACGTCGTAATAATAATATTAAACATCCTGTCTGCTAACAGTCATCAACTCTTCTCCCTAATATCCTTCACCAGATGTACCCTGTAGAAACTCATAAGCATACCTAAGCATTTAACAGTCTAACTATACATCCTATCTCCACTAAACATTTCTAATACATAAAGTATCTATCCAATATCTATCTGACTAAAAATACCTAGCATAGCCCAGTATCGGTGAGCATTGTTACCTGTCTTTGAATCCTCCCCTGTCGACCGACTCCTATTGTCCTGGTGGGCATGTTTGAGCAGAGATCTCAAAACAGAGTTGTAGATGGATGACAAGTTGTGCCTCAGTCCACCACCCCTATTTAATGAGGGGTGTTCTTTTTGGACAAAAATAGCTTCCTTAACTCCTGTCTCAAACCAGCGATGTTCTCTGGAGAGGATCTGGACTTCACCATCCTTGAAAGAATGTCATTTGTCTTTTAGGTTGAGGTGGACTGCTGACTCTGGTCCACTGGAGTTGGCCCATCTGTGTTGGGCCACACGTTTGTGGAGCGGCTGCTGCTGCTGCTGTAAGGTTCTAAGCTTTTCAGCTGACTATGACCTGGATAACCGAAAATATGCACGTACATGTTACTTCTATAGGTTGTTGCACTGTGGTGTTTGCTGTTTCTCCCTATGGATTAACTGTTCAGTAGAATGACGGCCGGGGGAAGAAACTGTCCTTGTCTGTGGTGGTTTTGGCAAACAGTGACCCGTAGCACTGCCCAGATGGGAGGAGGTCAAACACTTTGTGTCCAGGAGGTGGTGTGGGGAGGCGACAGTGGTGCAGTGGGTAGAGCAGTTGTCTCCCAACCAGAAGGTTGAAGGTTCAAATCTCGATGCCTACAGTCCACGTGTCGAAGTGTCCTTGGGCAAGACAATGAACCCCCCCCATTGCCCCCGACGGTTAGAGCCACTGGTTGAGGTGGTGCCGCAGATGGCTGCCTTGGTTCTGTACCGGAAACAAATTCCTTGTGTGTAGCATACTTGGCCAATAAAGGTGATTATTATTATGTGATTGATTGATGGATTTGGTCTCAACACTTCCCCTGCTCTTTTCTACAGCCTCTCTGCTGAACCCAAATCTGGAGGACAGAGTTCCTGAAATCACAGTCAACACGTTGACAACAAGACGTCAACTGCATCTGCATCCTGCTAAGTTTGAACAGAAGAGACTGATTCAGTTGTCCTCCTCAGTGTCTGATTATGGCAAACTGAAACGGCAGGAGTGGTTCCACAACAGTAGTTCTGTCCCCAACGGAACTGTTTCCATTTACAATGAAAACGCTCAACGTATCGAATATGTTTGCCATTATAACTGCTACTGTGGCTTTTACAATCCTGATCTAGGGAGCTGCCGTTACACCTCGGACTCCTTCATGTTTCATACCAACAGCTTCCATCTCCTTGTGAATGAAGACAACTTTGAGATCCTGGAATGGAAGGATACCTTTGATAGTTCACTGCCGGTCAGTACCTGCTCTGATCTTAACAGGTATGTAGGGGAAAACAAGCACAGTCTCATGCCAGTCATGCCAGTGGGTCTTGTTATGGGCAAGATCCATCCTTTATATTCAGCTAGTGACCCGCCCTACCAGGTCCTGACCATCTGTATGGATATTGACAACGTGCACGTTCACGACGTCCAGTACAACACTAATAGCGCTCAGATCCTCAAGTACCCCCAGAGACCATTCGTGTCTCTGCCATCACCAACAATGACTGCAGTCCAGTGTCAAAAACAACTACTCTCTCAAAGACCAATCGGGTGGAGAAAAGGTGGGACGTGGGCGGTTCCATCACAGCGGGTGTCAAGACAACCTTTTCTGCAGGTATCCCCAGTATTGCCTCCGGAGGTGTTGAGGTCAGCGTTGAGGTGACATTCCAGGCCTCAGGAGGACATACCTATGTAGAACAGGTTCAACACTCTATATCTGTAAAGCTTGATGTCCCACCAAACCACAGCTGCAAAGTCAGGCTGCTGGGATATAAGTACAAGGCAGACATCCCTTTCACTGCACGTCTCACCCGCACCTGCAAAAGTGGTGCGACCACATCAACATCCATCTCTGGGACCTACAACAGTGTCGAGGTTGGAGAAGTCCGGGCTGTGGTGGACAGATGTGAACCTGTTCCCGACGCCAGGCCTTGTTCCTAAAGACATCAGTGTATGTAGAATTTGTACTAAGCCTAATCGTCATTTACCACATGTACTGCAAAAAGAAATTTTAAATCAGGCCAACATGAGGCCTTGTGCATATTTGAGTATAGTAAATGTCAGAATTATTAGCAGCAGACGTTACTTTCAGTTATGCATCTTAAAAATGTAACTTGTTGCTTTAAATGTCTTTGAATAGTTATTTTGTAATTAACAAATAAAGTGGGTATCATGTTTTTCTGACCATGTAAGTTATTAAATACATGAGGTTCATCCACAGCAGCTGCTGCAGCTGTGTGCATGTTCAGTGGGACTGTTTGGATCTTCACTGGAGGCCGACAGCAGCGGCTGTAGTAGTACACAACTAGAAATGGAGGCCGGCTCACATTGTCTTTCCAGTTTGGATCCACAAACTATAAACTGATAAAAATGACATGTTCAGTGGCATCACTGGCTGTTTGCTGTGTCTCTACTTTGACACAATTGTTTTAGTTTCATATCTTATTTATGTTTTAGCTCCTCACATGTTGTTATAACGCTTTTTTTGGTTACAGGGCCGCATTAAGAAAATCTGTGGCCCTAGGCTGTTAGTTTTTGAGGCCCCTACTTTTTGTTTTTAAAACACATTAAAAACCATTTTAGCCCACACAGCTGTGCTTCTACTGACTGAAGATGAACGAAATCAGAGACATATCTTTATCACTGTTGTAATATGATACTGTGGTGTTTCTCAGTGGTAACGGATCAACAAGCTCATTGTTCCCACTGGTGGCGAAGAATGTCAGCTCTTCTTCTCCTTTTGGTGCAACCTTCTGATTTTCCACAGTTTCCAGCTCCTTTCTGCAGAGCAGGTGCTACTAATGCTAGATGATTCTGTTTCAACAGGTGAAGCGGTGCTGCTGTTAGCCATGCTCCAATGGCAAATTCACTGTTGTTTTCATCATCATCAGCTGTTTTTTTGAAATACGTTTTTGCTGACTGTTAGTGATTTTTGGCAGTCAGTTTTTTGTTTTCTGTGCCCCGCAAGGTGCTGGGTTCATCAGTCTTGAGGGGTTCACAGACAAGGTCAAGGTCAAAGTGTTTATTTGTCATATGCACAGTTAGGAAATGTGTTTCCCTGTACAATGAAATTCTTACTTTGCTGTCCACACGAATGCCACAAAATACAAATGAAATATAAAGTAGATTAGCAGTAACACAAATCTAAATAAGCAATAAACACAAATCTAAGGCACTTTAAAGCAGCATATAAAAAAACATCACAGGTGGAAGTACATGAGGTAGATTAGATAGTTTGGAGGTCCTACACTTCACACTTCTGAACCAGAAGGTAGGGAGGTGAACAGTCCATGCTGGGGGTGGATGGGGTCTTTGAGGATGGAGGCAGCTTTCATACACACTCTGCAGTGGTAAATGCTCTGCAGAGAGGGCAGTGGAGTCCTAGTGATCTTCTCCACAGTCTTTACCACTCTCTGCAGGCGCTTGCAGTCCATAGCAGTAGTGCTGCCATTCCAGACGGTGATGCAGCTGGTCAAGATGCTCTCAAGGGGTGTTCTTTTTGCAGCTATAGAAGTTGCAAAGGATCCTAGGCAACATGCCAAACCTCCTCAGGCTCCTCAGGAAGTACAGCCGCTGTTGGGCCTTCTTGACCAGCTGTGTGGTGTTAAGTGTCCGAGTGAGGTCCTCACTCACCCATCCATCCATCTTCGTCTGCTTTATCCGAAACTGGGTCACGGGGGCAGCAGCCTGAGCAGAGCCTCCCAGACTTCCCTCTCCCCACACACCTCCTCTAGCTCCTCAGGAGGAACCCCAAGGCATTCCCAGGCCAGCTGAGAAACATAGTCTCTCCAACATGTCCTGGGTCTGCCCCGAGGCCTTCTCCCGGTAGGACATGCCCGGAATACCTCCCCAGGGAGGCATCAATGAGGCATCCTAAACAGGTGCCCGAGCCACCTCAACTGGTTCCGCTTGATGTGGAGGAGCAGCGGCTCTACTCCAAGCTCCTCACGGGTGACCAAGCTCTGCACTTCATCCCTAAGGGTGCGCCCAGCCACTCTCTGGAGGAAGCTCATTTCTGCCACTTGTACCCGCGATCTCATTCTTTCGGTCATGATCCAAAGTTCATGGCCATAGGTGAGGGCAGGAACGTAGATCGACCGGTAAATTGAAAGCTTCGTCTTAAGTCTCAGCTCCTTCTTCACCACATCAGACCGGTACAGAGACCGCATTACTGCAGACACCACACCGATCCGCCTGTCAATCTGCCACTCCATTTTTTCCTCACTCGTGAACAAGACCCCAAGATACTTAAACTCTTCCACTTGAGGGAGCAACCCGCCCCAACCCGGAGAGAGCAATCCACCTTTTTCCAATTGAGAGCCATGGCCTCAGATTTGAAGGTGCTAATTCTCACCCCTACCGCTTCACACTCGGCTGCAAACCCCTCCAGTGCATGCTGTGCTTGAACTGATGAAGCCAACAGAACAACATCATCCGCAAAGCG